ACCTTCAAATACAAAATAACTTTAATATAATTAGTGTGTAAAAGAAAGAAGAGAAAGAATGTAGTTAATATAGCTTCCAAATGAACACCCAAAGTTATAGAACCCCTCCTGCATAAATGTTCAGCCAAACAGGGTTGGCCCAAAAGCTTGCCACAGATCTATTCTTCCTCAGTCCTCTTCCAAGCCCTTTTAGCTTCCCCTTGCTGCTCAGCTCCATGCTTCCTTAGGGTGGGGCAGGGAACCTGGAATCTCCTCTTTCTATGGATATCAAGCTGTTACCTTACAATCACCTTCCCTGGCCGCAGATGGTCCACAAAGATAGTGTGAGCTGTGTGGCAGAAAGTTGGCTGAAAATCTCCTGTGCTGTGCCCAGAGAATATAGCCACTAGTCCTGCAGCTAATGTTATGCCTACATTCAGTTTGCCTCTGGGTGAGTTTTCCTTGAAGGCTTTTGCATCCCAGCTTGTCTCAGCCTTAGCGCCTACAGAAAACAGCACCAGCAACAGTTCTCATATGCCGACATGTAACTGGTCAGAGCAGTTGAACCTGTCCTCATGCACAACTTTTATGAACAGATCCCACCATCACCCTCTCCCGAGGGGTTATTCTGGACAATCTCATATAGGAACCAAGCAGAGCATTAGTTTAAAATACTCATGCTCTTGCCCCCTTAGCCACTCCTGGTCATTTGTAGTGGCCCTGGCCCCTCCTGTAGTAGCCCTGCTCTTCTAGAAGCCCTTCTCCCTGAAGAATCTGCCTGTCACACCCCAGGACACTGCAGGGTAAAGCATAAGGACATACTGGGGGGTGGCAAAGATTAACCTTCATGGTGCTGCATTCCCTCAAGTCAGCAACCCAAATGGCTTTACTGCCACCCACAAGGTGATTCTCAGCCCACAAGGTAACTTTCAATAAATAGGTAACAATATGGAAGGAGAAACAGCAAAATTTTAGAGCCAGACCTATCTCATTTTCTGTCCTGGTCCTTCCACTTACTCAATCTGTGACCTAAGCCACTCAAACAAAGTCTGTTGCCTTCACTGTGAAATGGAAATAGCAACATGGGGTATATACAATTGTGTTATATATAAAAGATATATAAGCACAATGCCTTGGCATGCATTAAACACTTTTTTAAATTGTTAATTCTTAACAAAAAACCTAGCACTGTGCCAAGTACATATTAGCTGGACACTGAATGGTGGTCAGCAGTGCCCTCTCCTCCTATGGCTGTTGTACAGGCCTGGGCTGACCTGACCCTTAAGCAATGTGGGATATATTGTCTTGGCTGCCTTTAGCGAAGTAGTTAATATTATATTCAAGGCAACTGGCCCTAGAATGTCCTAGGCCATGTTCAACACCATCATACCATACCAGGATAATCCTCAGGGAAGGGACAGTTTCCAGGTTCCCTGGCCCACCCTAAGGAGCTGAGGAGCAAGGACAAGTGAGAGGAAACTGGGAGAAGGAAGGAAGGTGAGGAAGAAGAGGACCTGGAGGAGGCACATGGAACAGAGAGACATGTGAAGAAGCTGCACTTGCTTCTTAGCCTTGGACTTGTACCAGGGACTCGGAGGACATGGAAGGAGAAACTTCAGACAGATATGGGTGAGAGACCCATGGGGAGGCTCACAATGGCAGCCTTTATCTTGACTTGGACTTTGATTTTCCTCTTTTCCTTCCAGACTTGCCTGACCCCTTCTGCCCCTTTCCTATGTGTCTCAGCAGAAGGTGCTTTCGACTTGTGGCAAGCTTTTGGGCCTCAGTGGCCCTGCTTTGGGCCAACCCTGTTTGGCTGGGCATTTACCCACGAGCGGATAGGTAACTTTGGGATTCTATGTGGAAACTACTTTATCTATTCTTTCTCTTCTTTTCTCTTTATTGCACAGTAGTTGTATTAAAATTTCATTCCATTAGGGCCTCCCCGGTGGCGCAGCGGTTGAGCGCTGGGTTGCGAAGCTGCGCGCAGCCTCTGCAGCGCCGGTTCGATCCCCGGCTGCTCCCCGGCCACCGGAGGAGGGTCCCACATGGCGCGCAGACCTCTCCTGCCGCCTGTTGCTCCCCTCAGCAGTGTGCTTCTGTCCTTCTGCCTGCTCTGCTCCCCGCTCTGGCTCTGCTGAATTCTCTCACCCTCCCGCACTTCTGACTGTACCCAGTGCTTGTATAAATAAATAAAAATAAATCTTTTTTTTAAAAAAAAAAAAAAAGAAATGAGGGACCAAAATTATAAAAAAAAAAAAATTTCATTCCATTAAAGGTCTTATACACTAGATTATGTCTTGTCTTGATGCAGTGGATGGCAGAACCCATTTAGAGTGGGCAGATTTGGGGGTCCCGTGGTGCCCCTCACTGTGCCTTGTAACACAGGCACTTTCACATATCATCATATTGCATTGAAAATGTAAAATATATGTTCCTCATTCAATAAACGTATATGGTAATGGTATATGAAATGATTTTCAAATTTTACTTTTGGAATAATTTGATGACAAGTAATTTGTGATTGGCACTGTTCCTCTGCCATCATGGTTCTTGGGAATGCCTATAAAATAAGCAAATCTAACCTCAGATTGTTTTCCAATGGAATAAACATTTATGTGCGCCAAATTTTAAAATAATTGAAATCGACTTCAGTGGCTATGGAAGTGGGTAGGCAGATAATTTACCTTTGACTTTGCAGTTTCTTATATTAGAGCCAATATATGTTTTCCCAGTCTCAGATATTGTAGACCTTTGCAAATCCCCCAGCCTCTATTGCTAAATGGGCCTAAGCTAAGGGGTCAGCCCTGGAACCATGGTGTTTGTGATCACTGACTAGGGCCAAATACATAATCAAAGGACCTCTCCCCAGACCTGTCTGGGTGGGGCTGGCCAGTGGCAATATTAGCCCTTACTTGAGGGAAAGCATGCTTTCAACTTAATTGGATTCAGAGCTTGCAAAGTCTGTGGTCAATCATCTTGGTCTGTACAGAATGTTCATGCCAGACCTTGGCTCCTGTCACCATCCCCACCCTCTCACTGCAAGCTCTGAGGCTTGGGTCTGCAACTATTAATGAATCATTTGGTAATTCTTCCATCCCAATGGGAGGGCACACACACACACACACACACACACACACATACTTCCTGGGGTTCAAGTCAACTGCTTGCTCCATTCCCCTAGGTTCAAAACCAAGGATTTGTTAGTTTCATGGCAAGGGATGCATAAAAAGACCCTCACTGTGAAAAGAGTGAGCTCTATTGGTGAACCAGGCCCCACCTTAGAGGCAGAGGCACAAACATCTCCCAAGTTTCCCATCTGGCAATGCTGATCTGAAGAGCTTGGTGATTTTTGCTACTTTGAAGATCATTTTCTCTCCAAGGCAGTGATGTCCCACACATTCCAGAGGTCTAGGTTGGGTGGGGTCCAACATACCAATTAAGACCTGAGAGGTTGTAGCCAGAGCAATTTCCCAACTTCAGTCATTCGCTTCCTCCCTGCAATTGTTGCAATATCACTAGCTGCCATAATATAATTTATTAACGATATGTGTACTCATTTTAGTTCAAAAAATTCTTAGAAAAGGAAACTACATGACACCATATTTCAAAGAACTCAAGTGTCACCTAATAAACAGACATTAAAGTAGATGTACTGAATGTCATCCAATTTTTAAAAATTTTATTTCAATATTATTTAGAGAAGCGACTTCAGCCCGATTTCTGTTGACTTGATGGAAAAGGGAAAGACAAAGAATTTACTCTCTTGTTAATAGGAAACTTTCTCATAGATGTTATCAGGAGGATTAGAAGAGAATTACTGAAGGTGGTGTTCGTGCACCACCCAAAGTCACACACTCAGTAGACTCTGCCTCTAAGGAAGACACTTTCTCCTTCCTTTTACAACGGACACGAGATCAAAGTCAGGAAAGCTCCTAGCCCCAGCTCTGCCTCCCACTCAGGGGCCTCAGGAAGGGCACTTGCCCTTTCAGGAACTCACACCCCCTCATCTGTAAAACTGAGCACTGATTAAGTGATCTTTAAGCTCTCTTCCAGCTCTGACCCTCTATCATTCCAAGGCTTTCCCCAACAGAGTAAAATGGCAGCCATGGAAAAAGCCCAACTCACCATGTGCTTTGCCAGCTGGAGCAGACTTCTTCACTGGGCGTGTCTGTTTTTCTAGCTTCAGTGAGAAATTGGGCCACGGAACAGAGAGGAGTGAGCTGGCTCCACAACCTTAATACTGTCTCTTTCAGGGTCACCTGAGCTAGCCGAAGAGAGTGGAGTGGAGCCTCCACTCTCTATTTTTTCTTCCAAGATTAGATTCCCTCTCCTCAATGTTCAAAAAAAAAAAAAAAAAATGGAGCATGGAAAGAATAGGGACTTTGGAAGCCAAGAGACCTTGATTAAAATCCTATATGTGACACTCTCTAGCTATGTAATAATAGGTAATTTCCTTAACTTTTCTGAGTTTCAGTTTGCTCATATATTTTTAAAAAGTATCATACTCGGGGCCTCCCTGGTGGCACAGGGGTTAAAGATACAGTGCTATCAAGGTCAGACACTGCAGCCTGAGTTCAATACCTGGCCAGGGAGCTGACCCACATGGCGCAGCAGACCTCTCCTGTCTTGCCCACTGCTTCCCCTCAGCAGTGTATTTCAGTAGATCCGCCTATTCTGCTCCACACTCTGTCTCTGGGGAATCCTCTCACCCCCCTGCACCTCTGACCTATGCCCCTGTTCTATGCATAAATAAACCTTAAAAAAAATAAATCAGTACATAAAAAATAGCATACTCACCTCATAAAAATATCACAAGGGGAAAAAAATAGAAGTATTTATTAGGGACATAGAGGCACTTTATCTGCTGGAAGTGTATTAAAAAATGCCAGTGGTGTTCTTAAATATCTGAGACTGCAAGAGCCCTACAATAACTCACTTAGGGTATGAGATTCTTAGAAGAGCCAGCAAGGTTCCCCCATGATGACTACTCATCACCTACTGCTCCCTCTGTTCCTCTGTCTCCCCTAGGAGAGATGGCACCGGCCAGAGCAGGATTCAGCCCCCTGCTGCTGCTCCTGCTGCTGGGACTGTGGGTAGCCGAGGTCCCCGTCAGTGCCAAGCCCAAGAACATGACCTCAGCTCAGTGGTTCGAAACTCAGCACGTGCAGCTGAGCCCTCAGCAATGCAACGCGGCGATGGCCAACATCAATAAGTACACGAAACGCTGCAAGAGTATCAACACCTTCCTGCATGAACCCTTCTCCACAGTGGCCGCCACCTGTCAGACCCCCAACATAGCCTGCAAGAATGGCCGTGACAACTGTCACCAGAGCCAAGAGCGCATGTTCTTGACCGATTGTCAGCTCACCTCGGGGAAGTACCCAGACTGCAAGTACAAAGAGAGACAAATGGATGCCTTCTTCATCATCGCCTGTGAGCCTCCCCAAGAGAAAGATGACCAGAGATACCAGCTGGTTCCCGTGCACCTGGACAAAGTTATCTAAGATCAAGTGTTCCCCACTCCTCCCATGCCACCCCAAGCTCTGTAAACTCCTGCTGCTGCTGCATTTCCTCCCATGAATTCTTTACTAATCCTTACCTTCCTTGCAAATACCACTTCCCTCCCACACACACCCAACTTCATACACTCTTAATTCCTTTGGGGGTTTTCGGGATGCTCCAAGTAATGAGGGAAGAGGGGTCATTCTCTATAGCCTTTCACTGATGCCTGCATTGCTTCCTGAGTTTGTGATACTCTGCGGCCTTTCAAGCACAAAGGATCTGGACAGGGCTTGCTGCAGGGCTGTGTTATGTATAATTTAGGGGGATGTCTGAAAAAGAAAGGGAATATAAAATTACAAATGCAAGCTAAGGTGAGGGCCTTGGAGGGGCTGTGGTTAGATAGTTCAGGGGGGCCACAGACAGTGGAGATTATCTCAGGAAGTAGGGCAGAAAAACCCTTGCTGTGTTCCTTGTGCTGGGCAAAGGAACGTGTCTGATTTTGCTGCAATAAAATACTCTGCTCTTCCTGAGTGTGTGTCATTGTCCGGGGAAGATATGAAGCTTGGAAATCTCTTCTTATCTCTGTGAGGCCTGACCTGCAGGCAGGAAGGGCAGCCAGCACTCTCTGAAAGCTCAGGATTGGGGTAGAGCTGGACTCTGGCTTCCACCCCATTGAGAACTGCCTGGGAGCTCCCATCTCAGCTGAAGGGCAGAAAGAACATCTTCCCAGATGCATGTCAGATCCTACGCCTGTTCGTGCTCCAGATCTGACCTCACACTTCACTGATATGAATGGAAGTAAGAGCCTCATGCTTCTGAAGTGAATTTCCCTCCCTTAGAAATTTCACAGTCAGGACCCTCCAAGAATCTTGATCGGGTACTCCTCTCAGTGTGGTGAAGGGAGTCTGACATGCGATCTGCCATGGATTTACAGTATTATACTGCAAAAAAGGAATTACTGGAAAATGAATTCAAAATAGAACATACTGATAGAGAAAAACGGGGTCAAATTTTTATTAGATTCAATTAACATAAAATCACTTTATCAAATTGCCATAAAAGTTGCTCAAGCTTTCTTCTCAATTTCTGTACTAATCTTGATACTTACACAGAAAAAAACACAAACCTATTATACATGTGTATAATATATGTTGGGACACATAAGTGCCAACATAAGACATACACACCCATGCATATACATGAACACAGGGACAAACACTCACATGGGTACATGTGTGTGCAACACACACTCAAATACATGCACTCAGCAGTAAGGCAACCCTCTCCTCTGCAGATACTGCCTCCTCCTCATACCTTCCTTCCCACATTTTGGAAGAGATTTTCCTACACAAGCTAGGGTTCAGAATAAAGAAAAGATATTGGTGAAATATGATGTAGCAGAGAAAATGGAGGACCCAGAATTTCTGACTCCCTGACACCACCATACCTTCTAGAAAGAGACAGCTCAGGAAGAGCACTCCATTATCTACCATATCCACATATAGCAATAACCCACCTCAAATAGAGCATCCCTCATGCCACACATAATAGTTCTGCCCATCGCTAGCACTATTTTGCCCATCCCTGTGCTGACAACCAAGGAAGGCATACTGTAAGTAAGAGAAAAACAACATTCTAAAAAAAAAAAAAAAACAACATTCTTCTACCCCTTTGGCTTCTCCCCAGTGTCGTGGGCAGGCTCCATTTCCTCTGTCTGCACCTTAAATGATGGTGTTTCTCAAGATCCTATTCTTAGCTCTCTTTCCTTCTCACACTGCATTCTCTTGAGCGACTTGATATACTTCCATGCCCTCTACAATTACTTATCTGCTCCCTTAAGTCTATCTCCAGCCCCAGTCTCCCAAGTTCCAGGCAGAGATATCCAGGTCCTACTGCCACTGATGCCGGCCCCCTTAGCATCCTGCAGGGGTCTAAATTAAAAACACTCAACTTGAGCTCAGTCTGCCCATCCTCCTGCAATCTCTCAGCCTTAGTTTGTGGAAACATCAGACCCAATCATTCAAGGCCCTAATCTGAGATACATGTCAGCTCATTCCTATTTGTTTGCTTCTCCAGCAATTTCCACACCCCTCCCCACCCCTGCCCTATACTGCGCTAAGAGGGTACACAACAGTACTTGGGTGTTCTTTTCTCAAATATCGTTGAATTTATAACAGGTGCCCAATACACATTATGGTTTTGGAAGGGTAAACACACCTGTGATTGGGAGTTAGGCAAACACACCTATATTGTTGCAGACAAGGATTCATTATCCAGCTTAAGTGGCAAGAGAAAATATGCCTTTGAAATACCATAAATAATAACAGAAGAGTGCAGTGAATCAAATGGACTCTAGAATATTTTTTTTCCCACCTCCCTAGAATGTCCCTCATCCCCTCCTAAAGTTTGTTCTTTGTTAAATGTTAATCTTTCTGTTACACGTCTGTGGCTTAACATTATGTCTATAACCAGAGTCAGGCAACACCAGGAAAAATTCAGTCATTCAATATCTGTAAAAGCAATAGCCCCAGAAGCTGGAAAAAGTGTGAAATGAATTCAGAATAGAATGGATCTTTAAATAAGTTAATTATGCCCAAACGAGTGGTGTGGCTACCTGGGTAGGAGTTTCTGGCTTCTGTGTGTAGGTTGAAGAACTCGATGGAGGGAAACTTGAATCTAGGGGCCATGGGCTATGAAATTGGCTCATCCAGAAACAAGTGCGGAAGTTGACAATTTGAGAAGAGCTGCCTGAGAATCTTGGAACAAAATCTCTGCTGGTTATGATCTCTGGGCCACCGAAGATGTGTCTCAAAAAATCACTTGGGTAGGGGCTCCCAGCTATTTAGGATGACATAATTATTTCCTAGTGGGTTTGTTTTAATACCCCAAAAGTTTAAAGTTAAGGGCAGAGGCATTTAAGAGAATCAAACGTGTAGCATTGGGCCTCCCGGGTGGCGCAGCGGTTGAGCGCTGGGTTGCGAAGCTGCCCACAGCCTCTGCAGCACCGGTTCGATCCCCAGCTGCTCCCCGGCCACCAGAGGAGGGTCCTACATGGCTCGCAGACCTCTCCAGCCACCCGCTGCTCCCCTCAGCAGTGTATTTCGGTCCTTCTACCTGCTCTGCTCCCCGCTCTGACTCTGGTGAATTCTCTCACCCTCCCACGCTTCTGACTGTACCCAGTGCTTGTATATATGTATGTATACACAAACAAACAAACAAACAAATAAATAAATAAATCTAAAAAAAAAATGTAGCATTGATATATTTATATTAACGAATTTGTTCATATTTAGCATTTTAGGTACTTTGCATGTTTAAGAGAATTTTGTCTGTAACAGTAACAATTGGACTTGCAACTCTAATTTAAAATGTGTGGTTTAAACATGTAATTTGAAATAGAACCTTCCTTCAAAATTAGTTTTGGAAGATTTAAGAAAACTTAAGAGTTGAATCATCATATTTTTAAATTGTTGGATTTCTAAGAGTCTTTTTGATATTCAGGAATGTTTTGTTGGGTAGCTCAGATTATCAAATTACTTCATAAGGACATGGACTATGTTAAATTTATAAAATATGTTTTTAATTGTTTGAAGGAGTCTTGTTAACTGCTTTTTTAAATAGTCATCAAATCCAATCCTTTAAAGTGATTATTAAAATTTGCTTGTTTGTAAGTTAAATATAAAAGTTTAAGGAAGGACTAGACTTCCGATTGGCATCTTTACACATAACAGCAATTTTATTTATTTATTTTGTGGGACCCTCGCAGGTGGCTGGGGATTGAACTGGCGCTGCAGAGGCTGTGGGCCGCCTCGCGACCCAGCACTCAACCACTGTGCCACCAGGGGAGGCCCATAACAGCAATTTTAAAAAGTCAAATATTGTGCCAAATATTCTTTTCCAAATTCACATTGACACTGCCAGACCAGTCCATTCACTGCACTGTTTTCATCTACAAAATGTACAGTTAACTTTGACAATTGTATTTCCTGGTGTCCCATGACTTCTGGTTTTCCTGCACTTCTAGAAGGAAGGATGGCCACCCATGACGCAATTGCTGAGGCTCATGCTGGGGATTGGTAATGGAGTGGACCCCAGGACTGTACCGCCCTCCCATACTCTCCTTCCTCTGCACCATATGGTCACCTTGTGGGTCATTCTGTAACTTGAGAAGGGTCTCCCATTACATTCTGGAGGAACCGAGAAAGGGGAGCAGGGCTTCCCTGAGGCGAGGGTGGTAGTGGCAGAGGAATTCAGTAAAAGTCTACAAAGGAGTGAAACTCAGAGACTATGGTTGAGTCGTCATCTTCAACAGGGCTTTTTCTTCCTTGGCCAAACTTGGGAGTTTTGAGACTATGTTTTACCAAGTAAGATGGCTTTTTAAAAAAACAAAAACAAAACCAACAGATTGTTAAGCAACTGGTTCCTTCAATAAAACAGGCTGCTTGCCTGGAAGCGTGTGTGTAAATACACTTGTTCATGGTAGGGAGGTGAAGTTATGTTAGTGGAATTAGGAGTGCTATATATTCCACCAATTACAGATCCTTTGTCGACCAAAATTCCCCATTTGAAGTGCAATTATCTTTTGGCAGAAATAAAAAAGATAGTGTAACAATGATTTGGCACCTATGACATTGGTATGGGTTTGTCTTGGGAACATGTGGAGGCACAGCATTTAGAGAGAAGGTTTTGTAATAAGGGGTCTTAAGATAGGTGGAGTGTTGAGCAGATACCTGGAAGTAGACAATGAGTACAGAAAGGGATTTGTCAAGGAACCAGAGACAAATCTGTCCCCGCTGCCTAGCAGGTCTGAAGGTTGGGGGGCATGGGAGGGCGGCAGAGGTATGACTTCATGCTGCTGTAATTTCCAGATTGCCTGCCCCAGGAGATTCTGCTGGGAGTCTGCCAAAGAGGGTTCAGGCTGCCATGAGATATACCTGGCATGTGTTAGGTCTTAATAAATGTTTGTTTAACAAAATTTGTTTTTAGAGCAAAGGAGTGGGGCTAGGAAAATATACAGATCACAAACCTGGAAAGCTTATGAAACAATTCCTTTTAAAACTTTCTCATTAAGCTAAATTTTTTTCCAGAGCGAGAGAATTCACTGCCTATGGAGACGGCCTTTGCCAGTCGGGCAGTTCTAAATATTAACTCCCCTACATACACCCTGGTCTATTCCTCAGTAACAGCAGCAATTCACTGATACTGTCACTTTGAGCCACTCAGAAAAAATCCAATTCCTCATCACACTCAACTTTTTAAATATTTTAAGAGTCCTGTGACTCTTGACCTCCAAATATTATCTCCTCAGGCAAGGGCTATAAAATGACTCCCACTATTTCATCCAATAATTCTACTTGGTGAAATATGCTCAGTGGAAATAACTCAAGTGTGGAGGGAAAAAATGTGTGCAACTGTTTATACTCTGAGAAAAGTTAGAAATAATACAAGTTCCCCCCAAATAATGCGACAACCACTTGATGCTTTAACTGAAGCATCAAGTTATCACTAATGAAGACATTCACACAATTACACAGATGCATGGCTATGTGTATGGGCAAAGCTACATGAAGAAACAGAGGTTAAAACTGTTTCCAAACAGGTCATTGCTATGAGTCTTCCTGGTGCTGCAGGGGTTAAAGTCTCAGCGCTATCAAGCTATCACCAACCACTGTGGCCTGAGTTAGATCTCAGGCCAGGGAGCTAACCCACATGGCCCAGCAGACCTCTCCTGTCTCTCCCACTGCTCCCCTCAGCAGTGTATTTCATTCAGTCTGCCTATTCTGTTCCCCACTCTGTCTCTGGTGAATCCTCTCACCCCCTGCACCTCTGGCCTATTCCCCAGATCTTGTATGCACAAATAAATAAAAATAAATCTTAAAAAAAAAAAAAACCAGCCAGGTCATAGCTATATAAAAGCGTCTGGGTTTGCATACCAATAAGGTCCTTACGTGAATTTGGAGTCTTTCCAGAACTTCCTCTCCAAACCATGCCTCTTCCAGACTCTCCTAGCCCGGTGGGTCTACATCTGACCCAGAAGACCCTCCACTCCACATTAGCTTCCAACTGTCTTGTGTCGCTTCCACTTGCAAATGTCAACCTACAGACAAAAAAGAACTGGTGATGTCTAAGTGCCCCGGCCTCCTCACTCCTTCCCACTTCCCAGCTTCCCCTTCTCATGTAGTGCCACCACCATTTTTGTTCTGATGGTGTCTTTCAGAACCTGGTCAGAGACTATTGAGGTTATCACAGTGACAAACAGACAAGACCCTTGACTTCATGGAGCTTATTTTTAAATTATATGTAGTGGCAGGGGGGCTATCTCTCTGTTAAATGAGGTGGAGAATAAACAAAGACATATTCAAATAGAAATTAATGCTGTGAAGAAAGCAAAAGATGTCTCATAACAGGTGGGAGACCACATAACGTCAGGGGGTCAGGGAAAACATTCTAGAATGTAACACTTCAGTCAGGACCTAATGGATGAGAGCCAGTGACTAGAATTGTGAAAAGAGGCCATCTAGCAGAAAGGAAAAAGAGCCAAAAGCCCACAAATTAGGAATAAACAAGGTATGTTTGAAGGATTGAAAGGGCACCAGTGGCTGAGGGTCCCTGGTGACTTCCCACCTCAGGGGAGTGCGCAGAGATGAGCCTGGACCAAAAGGCAGAAGAGGATTCATAATACAAATGAGAAGTCACTGGAAGGGGTTCATGTGATCCAGCTGAGGTTTACAGAGGATCAGTATGGCTGAGTGCAGAGAATGGCTTATCAGGAAGTAACAGAGGAACTTGTAGACCAGCATGGAAATGACTGCACCAGCACAGGCAAGAGGCTATCCTGTGAATTTTGGAGATACCCAGTTCAGAGAGATACCAGTTGTAAATTTTTAAGGAAATACTGTCAAGAAAATAAAGCCCAGGGCCTCCCCAGTGGCGCAGCGGTTGAGCGCTGGGTTGCGAAGCTGCCCAAAGCCTCCCCGGCGCCGGTTCAATTCCCGGCTGCTCCCGGGCCACCGGAGGAGGGTCCCGCATGGCACACAGACCTCTCCTGCCACCTGCTGCTCCCCTCAGCAGTGTACTTCGGTCCTTCTGCCTGCTCTGCTCCCCGCTCTGGCTCTGGTGAATTCTCTCACCCTCCCGCGCTTCTGACTGTACCCAGTGCTTGTATAAATAAATAAATAAATCTTTAAAAAAAAAAAAAAAAGAAAAGAAAAGAAAGCCCAAACTAAGGGAAAAATTAAACAAAAGTAGAATTAACATATACACTGTGCTGATTACTTATCCTAAAATAACTAAGGTCTGGCTCACAGTTTCCTCAGTAGACACAGGTAAATATATGCTCTTTCAAGTCTGTTCCTAAAATTCCCCCAGTGGTCCTCCACTAAATCCCCCCTTACTTCAAGGCATGGACATAGAGCCCTGACCACTGCCCACCTTACAGCAGTGAGCAGCCTCCCCCAGTTAGAATGACAGCCACATAAACCAGATAATAACCATTACAGACACAGATGTTTCTTCTGCATTCTCTCTTATCAGGATAACACTACTTCCCCCATAAAACCATACTGGGAAATTCCTGATTGCTTAAGCTATTACTTACACTCAAGCCAGTCTGGGGGAGGAAAGGTTTTATTCTCTGACCCACAGGAACATATCTACCATGTTTAGAAACTCTTTCAGGGCCTCCCTGGTGGCACAGCGATTGAGCCCTGGGTTCCAAAGCTGCCCGCAGTCTCTGCAGCACCGGTTCAATCCCTGGCCACCGGGTGAGGATCCCACATGGCGCGCAGACCTCTCCTTCTGCCCGCTGCTCCCCTCAGCAGTGTACTTCGTCAGTCTGCCTGCTCTGCCCTCCGCTCTGACTCTGGTGAATTCTCTCACCCTCCCGCGCTTCTGACCTTACCCAGTGCTTATATAAATAAATCTTAGAAACTCTTTCAGCACTGGCAACTACAAAATTAAAGTTGCCACTTTTTAAAAAAATTTATTTTATTTATGTATACAAGAGCTGGGGTGTAGGCCAGAGTTGCAGAAAGATGAGAGGATTCACCAGAGACGAGTAGGGAGCAGAACAGGTGGATCTACTGAAATACACTGCTAAGGGGAGCAGCAGGGGCGAGACAGGAGAGGTGTGCTGCCCCAGGTGGCTCAGCTCCCTGGCCAGGGATTTACCTCATGCTGCAGTAACTGGGGATAGCTTCATAGTACTGAGACTTAACCCTTTGCACCACCAGGGAGGTCCAAAGTTGACACTTTTTAACATGGTGGTTATGTGGTGGAACAGGTAATGAAGTGTTCCAGGCACTTCTTTCATGCCCTGTGACAGTGCAGATTGAAGCCCTATTCAAACAGACATATTCAAATAGAAAAGACTGTAGTAAAGACTGGGCGTAAAGACTGTAGAATCAGATTGCCTAGCAAGACAGGAGAGGTCTGTTGTGCTACACATGGGCCAGCTCCCTAGCCGGTGATAGAACACTGATAGAATTCAGCCAGCAGTGACAGCTCTGAGATTCAACCCCCTAGGCCACCAGGGAGGCCCAGTGCCCCCTCTTCTATGGGAAAGAAGAATGGTGCTTTTTTCCAGAAGTTCAGGGACTCCCATAATTTATATGCCAGTTCCTAACTGTGGGAGACTTAAATACTAACAATTGTTTCGCCCAAGAAATTTGCTCAAGATTATGGAACATAGGCCTGGTAAAGGAAGATTCAGACTCTCAACACTGGGATTGGGTGAGCAGGATTTGTTTTTGTTGTTGTTGTTGTTGTTGTTTTTAAAGATTTATTTATTTATTTATACAAGAACCTGGGTACAGGCCAGATGTGCGGGAGGGTGAGAGGATTCACCAGAGACAGAGTGGGGAACAGAACAGGCAGACTGAAGAAATACACTGCTGAGGGGAGCAGCCGGCGACACAGGAGAGGTCTGCTGCACCATGTGGGATTCTTGCCCACCGCCCTGAACCGGTGCTGCAGAGGCTGAGGACAGCTTCACAGTGTGGTGCTCAACCACCTGTGCCACCAGGGAGGCCCACGGGTGAGCAGGATTTGTAACAAGTGAATAAAGTTCATAAAATAATCTCTAAGAAACTAGTTTCCCAAGTGCTGGCTTCAGTAACCAGCTACTGGACAGCTTTTACAGAGTGGACACCAGGGGGTAGCAAAATCTCACTCTTGCAGTTTCCAGGCACTAATTAAAGGGAAGTTGGAGTCTACCATGACTGGAGGGCCCCAAAACCCAGTGGTGGAAAAGAGCCAGTTCCCTGCCTCTAATTCTACTGGGGAGATGATCGCTGGCGTGTACTGCCCTAGGCTATGTTTGACTCGCGCAAGAGCAGAGGTATCCTCTTGCCTCCAAGAAGGAGGCACATTTTTCTTTTTCAGATCCAACTGTGTGGGAAAAGGGTGGAGTTTAGCGTTTAGAGGTGAAAGAAGAGCCAATGATCCAGGTGACACGCCCCTTTTCCTTCCCCCCAGTTCCAACAGCTACCCAGAGGCCGCAAGAGCTGCCTCCACTGCCAGGACTTTTTCCAAACATCACCACCTAGCTGCAGTGGGACTTGCCTTTGCACTTCTCTGGCGTCCCGGATCTCTACTCAAAAGCCCACCCTTTGAAAGCACCCCCACTACTTCCCAAAGCCTACACAGGGAGGGACAAGGCATCTCCCTGCTTTGTTTAAGCCTCCCCCAACCCTCCTGGGACACATTGGCCTGGCTTCATTTCCCATCCAGACGTGTGGAGGATGGGTTAGGCTAGAACTTTCCTAACTAGACTATCCCCCTTTGTCTGCTTTGTCAAACAGCCATCCTGACCGCCTGAGCCCAGGGGACCCTGAGAGATTCCCTATTTCCACCCCACAAGGAGAAAGAGTCAGGCATCTGGGATTGAATCATGGGATCTGACTGGGAAGTCTGGCATCTTCCCTCCTTTACTCCAAAAGGGAAATAGAGAATTGGGGCGGGTGGAGGGGGGGCGGCGAGACAATGAGGAAAGAACTCAAAACTTCTGCCGAGGTGCAGGTCCCTGCAGGAGGATCCTGACCCCGGGGCCCTGCCCCGCCTCGGTCACGATGCCCACCCCCTACCCCAGCCTTCACAGCTCCCTAATTACCCCACGCCTCCGCCTTCTCCTGGCCACACAGAGGAGCCCATTGTCGCAGCCCGAAGGCTCGAGGCCCGAGGAGATGGGAGGGGACCGAGGGGACCAGGAAGCCCCCGGAGACTGGAAGGAATCCCCGATTGCCGTGCTCTTCGCTCCACTCGATAAGGGCAAGGGTTGGGGGTCTGTTCTGAGCCCCAGGTTCTGTCTCTGTCTGGCAACTGTGGGGGAAGAGGTTCCCAGCCAAGCAGGAGGCTTCTGCGCGCCCACCGACTCCAGTCCTGGACTTGAGACCTCAGGGAACCCACGCACACCCCAGGCTCGAGTGTCCCTCGCAGAGGCTCAGCTGATCCCAGGGTGCAGGACGGCGGCGGGGGAAGAGGGGCACCCTAGGCGGGGCTGGCTCCCGAGGGCAGGGTCCGGGCCACCCCCGGGGGGCGGGGCGGAGGAGCTCGAGCGCGGCGGGAAAGCCGGGCAGGGCGGAGGGGGCGTCCGGGGGCTCCGCCCGGGAGAGGGAGCTGCGGCGGGGGGTCCCGCGCGGAGGCGGAGGCGGGCACTGCGGGGCGGGGCGGGGCGGGGCGGCCGTCTCGGCCCTCCCTGGCGGGGCCCCGCGGCCTGGGAGCCCGAGTGGGCCGAGCCGCCGCCGGGCCGGAGCTGTCCCCGGCCAGACCCAGCGAGGCGCGCGCGGCGGGAGGGAGGCGGCGGCGCGCCCGGCCCCGCCCGCCGGTCCCAGCGTCGGACGCGGCCCCGCGCCGAGCCATGGTGAGTCCCGCGGCGCGCCCGGGCGCCCCCCGCCTTCGCGCTGCCCGCTCTGCGCCGCCAGCCCCGGCCGGGTGCCTCCGGCGCGGCTTCGGGCTGCCGGCGCCCCGGGGACGCGCCCCCGGCCCCCCCCCCAGCTCCTCTTCTTCGCTCTGAGCGTCCTCTGCCCGCGGCGGGGCTCCGAGCCCACGGGGCGCGCCTTCACCTTTTCTTTCTCGCCTCCCCGCCCCCTCCCCCAGTCTCCCTTTGGTCTCCCCCTAATCCAAACACCTGCCCCTCCCCCTCCCCGTCCTGACCTGTGCCTTCCTTTGCAGGACCTCCCTCCCCCTCGGGGTCCAGCTCCTTACCCGCGGGGGACCCCTGCGGGCTGGTCCTGCAGCGGCCGTGGAAGGGGCCCGGCCTCGGGTCATGAGAACTGACCTGCCTGGAACCACCATTTTCCATCCCAGTCCCCAGCCCGGTGAGCCGGGCCCACCCATCCGGCCCTGGGGGACCGGCCACAGCTGCGGCTGGGCTGGGGCCAGGGACGTAGCCAAACAGGGAAATTCCCTTGGAGAAAGAGGGGCTGCCTCAAGGTAGTGGACAGAGTGAGGAGGGGGGCCTCCCAGTGCCAGGGGGCGCGAAGCTACCGGAGCAGAGCAGAGACTGGGGGTCAGGGAGAGGGAAAGTGCCCCGAGTTCTCGCTGCAGGGAGCAGAAGCGCGGCCTCGGAGCTCTCCCGCTGCAGAGGGGAGGGAGCAGGGGCGGGAGCTCTCTGCAGGGGGTAGGGAACCCCGGCTTTGGCAGCTCGGAGCCCTGGAAGCTGAAGAAGGGAAGCCCATACCCACGGAGTGGACACTGTCTTGGGAACTTTCACTCCAGAAGTACTCTCTGAAGAATCCCTGCGGGGATCGGGCGCTGTCAGGGAGAGCGCCCACTGCATGTGCGGGTGGGGGTGGGGGTGAGAGGGCTGAGGGGCTCTCACTGCAGAATGAAGGAGGGGGAGAGGCCCTGCCAGGGGGCGCTCAGTGCAGGGAGTAGTGGGGGGAGGAGCATTGGTGGGTTTGCGCCTCTACCTCCTGGCTGGGCAGCTGGAGCAAGAAGAAAGAGGAACCGGGCCAGGGAGAGCTGACTCAGTCTCTCTGGTCTCCTCCTGGGTCCTGGCCGGCTGGAGGCTGGGTCTCTGTTCCCGCCTGCCGCCTCCCACCCCAGACCCCTCCTCCCCTCCTGCCGCTGCCGTTTCCTGTGGCTGAGACTCGCTCTGCCATGAGCTCACCGCCCCTAATGGGTTGCAGCTGCCTCGCAGTTAAAGCTCTAGCTACCCCCTTCTGGCCTCAGAGCAGACGGCCCACTCTGCCTCACCCCCCGCCCATCTCCACCTCCCCCAACCCACGCTCACAGTACTGGCCGGGTCTGGAACACTGGGGGGTCTGTCTGCTCGCCCACACACCTTGGGGCTGGGTCTTTGCATTGACGTGCTGAAAGCCGGTCTCTGGAGTGCCTGCTCTTGCTTCTCAGACTTTCGGGACTAGCGGGCAACTCTGGCTTTAGGGACTCAAAGTAAAACATAGTTTTTTATCTTCAGGCCAAAGGCAGGGTTTGGGGTGGGGGTGGGAATTGGGAAAGCTACATAGAGAACTAGACAAGGGAGGCAGTGAGCATCCCCTTGCCTCCCCCTGCCCATGTCCAGTAAGGAAATCTGATAAAGGGAACATCAAAGCCATCTTGAGAGAGAAGTAACTTTGCAAAGGAATAGCCTGAGGGGAGTTGTTTAGGGCTTGGGATGGAGAAAGATAGTCTCATTTATTCACACAGGGAAGGCAAGTCTGGAGAAAGCAGGCATGAGTCTTTTGAAGCAGTGGCTCCTGGTGGAGGTTGGCAGAGAATCAGCAAATAAATATTTACCATCAAAGTCCTTTTGTGACTTTTCCCACTGCCATCACCCAGTTCTTTGTAATCCAATGGCACATGCTTTTAAAATGGGTGATGCTTTACAGCCAATCTGGGAGAGGGACAGTGGCGCTAGAAAGACTCAAGACAGCTCTTTAGTCCTCTTTCCTGCTTAATAATTGTTCATGGGTGGTGGCACCTCCACATAAGATAGGGGTCTCCGATAGCAGGGGAGCAGCATAGGTATGTGAAAGCCCCCACCCTCCAGAGTCATCTGTAAACCCCTGATGTCCACGGAGCCTGTCTCTTCTCTCCCATGGAAGGTCTCCGCAATCCCAATTCACAAGAAGCGGGGACAGCCCTGAGCAGAGACAGTCACAACAAATTCTCCCTGGATCTCCAAAGCCATGATCTCAGAATTTATTGGGTACACTGACTGTAGGCCTTCCCAGGCTTTGGAGAAGTGATGCTTGGGTCTACAGCTTGGTCTTGTCTCTCCCAGGAGCCTGAGCCAGTGGAGGACTGTGTGCAGAGCACGCTCGCCGCCCTGTACCCGCCCTTTGAGGCAACGGCCCCCACTCTGTTGGGCCAGGTGTTCCAGGTGGTAGAAAGGACTTACCGCGAGGATGCGCTGAGGTATACGCTGGACTTCCTGGTGCCTGCCAAGCACTTGCTTGCCAAGGTCCAGCAGGAAGCCTGTGTGAGTAGCCGTGATCTCTGTTTTATGTCTCCTAACACCCACGCCAGAAACTGGCCAGATTGACTGATTTCCCTCCAGCCAGAGACCTACCTCCCCTGATACCAATCCCCACAAAGCCACCCAGATACTAACACACACTCATCTTCCCCAAGTATTGACCCTATGAAACATCAACTCCCAAAGACACCCTCCACCGGCCCTCCATATCCATTTTCAGACATGTCCCCCCTCACGTCATTTCTCAAGATGCTAACTTCCCTTGACATGATTCAACAGAAAGTCTTCACTTCTATAGCTAGAAAGACCTCCTAAGAGTTTCTGACTCCTCCAAGACAATGGCATCTGCTGACCATGTCTTTGTAATGACTCAGTTGTTAGCCTCCCGCACAAGGAACCAGCTTCCTAGAGAAGCTTCCTAACACCGGAAAACTGAATAGAACCAACCCCTTTCTCTGCCACAGGAACACTCCAAGATAGCGCTTCCCACTCCCCTGGGATTATAACCCATCAGGCAGAAGGCCAGGCCTGCCTAGGGTGGTCTCACTGTCCCCTCCTGCGGTTTCATCAGCAGAGGCTTGAGAGCAGCCTCCCACCTCTCTCCCCAGGCCCAGTACAGCGGTTTCCTCTTCTTCCACGAGGGCTGGCCCCTCTGCCTGCACGAGCAGGTGGTGGTGCAGCTGGCAGCCCTACCCTGGCAGCTGCTGCGTCCGGGAGACTTCTACCTGCAAGTAGTGCCCTCAGCAGCCCAAGCACCCCGCCTTGCACTCAAGTGCCTGGCCCCAGGGGGTGGGCGGGTGCAGGAGCTGCCTGTGCCCAATGAAGCCTGTGCCTACCTGTTCACACCTGAGTGGCTACAAGGCATCAACAAGGACCGGCCAACAGGTCGCCTCAGTACCTGTTTACTGTCTGCACCTTCTGGGATTCAGAGGCTGCCCTGGGCCGAGCTCATCTGCCCCCGATTTGTACATAAAGGGGGCCTCATGGTTGGACATCGGCCAAGCACACTACCCCCTGAACTACCCTCCGGACCCCCAGGGCTCCCCAGCCCTCCACTCCCTGAAGAGGCCCTGGGTACCCGGAGTCCTGGGGATGGACACAATGCCCCTGCTGAAGGACCTGAAGGCGAGTACGTGGAGCTGCTGGAGGTGACGCTGCCTGTTAGAGGGAGCCCCATGGATGCTGAGACCCCCTCCGGCCTCTCTAGGACCCGGACAGTACCCACTCGCAAGGGTGCTGGAGGGAAGGGCCGGCACCGGAGACACAGGGCGTGGATGCACCAGAAGGGCCTGGGGCCTCAAGATCAGGATGGGGCACGCCCGCCTGGTGAGGGGAGCAGCACCGGAGCCTCCCCAGCATCTCCCCCTGGAGCTGAGGCTTTTCCAGAGGCAGCAACGCTGGAGGTAGCCGAGCCCCCAGCAGAAGCACAGGGGGAGGCCTCTGAATCTTGCCCCCTGAGGCCAGGGGAGGCTGGAGGAGGAGCAGGCCAGGGGCCCGATGGACTGCCCGGCACCCCTCGGAGAACAAGCAAAGGAAATAGGAGAAAGAAACGAGCTGCAGGCAGAGGGGCTCTTAGTCGAGGAGGGGACAGTGCCCTGCTGAGCTCCAGGGACAAGGAAGAGACCAGCCACCAGGAAGCTCTTGTCAGTTTGCCTCCGCCAAGTGAGCATGAACTCCCAGGATGCAGCCTGATTAAGGAGGAGCATGAAGACTTGGGGAAACCAGAGTCTGAGCCAAAAGAGGAGCACAAACCAGCAGATGAAAAGGAACCTGGGCCCCCAGAACTCTGTGGGCCTATAGAAGAGAGAGAAGGAGAGAGAGAACAAGAGGGGCCAAGCCTGGTGTGCATGGCAGGTGAGATCGCAGGGAGGCTGATCAGCAAGGGCCAGTGTAGCAGGGCCTAGAAAGGGCTTGAAGGAGAAGGGGGTGAGGCTGGAAGCGGAACAGCCAGACCCATCCTCCCTTCAAATCCATAACTCTGCCCGTGTCTGCAGGACCCACAGGTCCCGACGGGCTCCTGTCTGACCATCCAACACCTCCCCCAGAGACTGTGCAGGAACTGAAAGGGGACAGTGTCCCAGAAGAGGCCCCTCCAGCTTCCATCTCTGAGGACCCGGATGTAGCTTGGGACTTGATGGCATCTGGATTCCTTGTTCTGACTGGTCAGTGGGCATCAGTGGTTGAAGGGAGAGAGGAAGGAGAAGCAGTTGGGGGTAGGCTGTGGAGGGAGGTGGGTGGGCTGGAGGTAGCCAAGGCTGGCCACCCACCAGGACAACCTGGCCGTTTTGTGTCCTCAGGAGGGGTGGACCAGAGTGGGCGAGCTCTGCTGACCATTACCCCACCGTGCCCTTCTGAGGAAGCCCCACCCACCCGAAACGTGCTGAGCACCGCTCTTCGTTACCTCCACTCACTGCTCAGGTAACCGAGCCCAGCTGGCTCCCCAGACATTAACCTCTAGGGTCACAAGGACCCCGACCCCTAGGACACCTACTTCTTCAACTCAGATTTTCAACTCATTGACCTTTACTGACTCCCGACCTCCAGGATATCTTCATCAACCTTCAATATCAACATTGCCGACATTCGTATCCTAAGACACAACTAGATTTTCAGGACATTGTTTCACTCTTCTACCACTATCGAGCACCAAGAGCCTATTAGGCACCATGCTACATGCTGATGTTGGGTTCACACCCTTCTAGAGCAGAGTTCCTGACTTTCCAGACCCAGGAGCCACGTGAATACAGGTTCCTGAATACTAGGTCACTTCCTTTTGACATACATCTGACTTTGGCCCTTTGCCCACTGTCTCCCCTGTGTGCCAGGAACTAACTTCTCCTGAGGACTATTATGGCTAAAACCAGACCATGTGTTGCTGTCCCTCCAACACACACACACATACACACACACACTCACTCACTCACTCACTCACTCACTCACTCACTCACTCACTCACTTTGCCTCATTGGCTCTTCCTGCGCCCACAGGCCTGATCTACAGATATTGGGACTGTCTGTCCTGCTCGATCTTCGCAAGGCACCCCCACTGCCTCCATCTCTCATCCCTGTCCTGAGTCAACTTCAGGTAACCAACCTCCTGTGACAAGTTCTTCCGCTCCTAAGGCTTCCCTAGTGGCAATCCCAGGCCACCCAATTGCCTACAGTTTAGAGTGAGTGTCCTCTCTGCCTTCAGGACGTGGGCAACCCCCCCATTATTCAGCGGCTGCTGCTTCTCACTCATGATGAACCTCCAACTGAACTCCTTGAACTTCAGGTTTGAGCCCCTCATTGTCAACTAATCGCCCTTACTAGTAGAGAAGAGCCCCAGGCCAGTTCCTGAATCTCTGGGTGCCCAGGCCAGAAACCCCCTGCCTTCACACATCCACAGGCTGCTGAGTTGCTGTCAGAGAATGATCTGAAAAAAGCAGTCAAACCAGAGGAGCTGCAGTGGGACTTGGGAGATCACAGAAACCTCTCTCCAGGCTACTGGGTAGAGACACACCAGGTAAGCTTCTGCTCCGTACCCAGGACACAGGGAACCAGGAATGACCTAGCTGAGGGCATTCTGGGAGAGAGGGCAGACCAGAGACATGAGATGGGGGTGGGAAAGCGTAGAAAATTCAGCAAGTACTTACTGTTCACAAATCATGAGCAAAATTTTGTTTTGTGCATGGACCATGGCTCCTGGAGAGATGGGAGGAGTCCATTAAATAAACCCATACTATGATATCAAGCAGCATGTGATTTTTGGTGGGAGATAAGTCAGAAACAATTGGAACGTGTAAGATAATGGTCACTGGGGTTCTTCTGAGAGCTGAGAGCCAGGAAGACAAGTTCTGGTTCCTTGTAACCTGGAACAAGTGACTGTATCCTGGAGATGGTGCTTCTCTCCACCTGTTCCCTGCACCAACATCCCAGCCTCAGGAGCCTCACCTGCAAAGTATAGCAATTATGATACAACCTCTGAGTCTATGAATCTAAATGCTAGTATTTAGTATTCGAGAAAAGAGGTGTAAACACGATCGGAATCAAGTTAAAGGCGGTCTGTAACCCCATCTCTAAGCTCTGTGTTAGGGAAGTGGCTCTGCATAGGCAGAAAGGAGGGTTTTACAGGGTGAAGACCCACTGTATGTTTACTAAGGTGACACACTAAGCTGTACAACGTGCCAGGCCCAGGCTACCTTGGCATCATCTCAAACCTCACAAAATCCTGTCTTAACCTGACTAGACAGCTGAAGGAGTTGAGGTTCAGGGAGGTTTCTGGATCTGCCCAAGGACATCTATTTAGCAAGCCACAAAGTCAGGCATTGAACCCAGCACTACCCCATAAAAGTCTCTTCCCCCACTCTGTACTGGGCCTTGGATTTCTTCTCCCAAACCCTGTCTTGGACTCTGTGTTGTATGTGTGCTGCAGGAGGTGGCCAGGCTGTGCCGGCTGTGCCGCGGAGTGCTGGGCTCCGTGCGGCAAGCCATCGAGGAGCTGCAGGCAGCCACAGAGCCAGAGGGAGAGGTAGGAAATGAGATGGGACAAAGGGGCTCAGTGGGGATAGGGCAGGGCTGGGCCAAGGGCTCTGATGGTACCCCAATTGTCAATTGTTCCCTGCCCCCAGGAGGCCGTAGGAATGCCTGAACCCCTACAGAAGGTGCTGGCAGATCCCCGGCTGACAGAGCTGCAGAGGGATGGGGGCGCCATCCTGATGAGGCTGCGCTCCACCCACAGCAGCAAGTATGAGGGTGGGGGTAAAGGACAAGTGGACATGGGGGAGAAGGACACATCGGAGGGCTGCCAATAAAAAACCCTGGTGCCTGATAGTCCTTGCTGAGCATGTATCTAGGCAAGATACGTGCTTTTCTACTTATGATCTAACAACCCTCTCAATTCCTCACAATGATCCTGGGTGCTAATTACAATTGCCCATGGGATAGCAAGGATCAGATATTAACTGTCTTGGCCATAGTAAGTGAATAAGTGGAAAAGTCAGTGTTCAAATTCGGGCCCAGGGTCTGGCCCCTGATGCTGTACCACCACCTTGTGTTGGCATGCACGAATGGAATGGGGTGGGGCTGGAGCTGGACAGGGTAATGGTTCACTCTGCCTGGTCCCCCAGGCTGGAGAGCCCCGGCCCAGCAACACTGTATCAGGAGGTGGACGAAGCCATTCACCAGCTGGTGCGACTCTCCAACTTGCATGTCCAACAGCAGGAGCAGCGGCAACGGCAGCGCCGGCTCCAGCAGGTGAGCCCAGACCCCATCTATATCCCTCTCACTCAGCCTGGGAACAGCCTCCAGCACCCCCTTTTCTGCAGACAACTTACAGTTGATGGTGTTCTCACCTGACTTGGTTCAGTGGTCCTACCTCTCTCCCCACCCCCGCCGGAGGTGGGTCACGGTCAGTTTGAGACTCAACAAGAGGGGCAGAGCATCTGGCCATCAGCAAAGGAGAGAAGCCGGATCTCCCCCTCCACTTTTATGTTTGACCAGGGGCCCTTGGAGACTGAGAGATGCTCCAGTGCCTGTGAGGGAAGAGCTGATTGATGAGGAAGTGCTTACCTCCTTAGAGTAAAAATAATGTCCATTAATATCATCTCTTTAGCTCCTCTTCCATCCATGTTCTCTCAACTCCTTGCTCAATATTTACCCCATCCTTAATCTGAAGCTAGAAAGGCCCCACATCCGCCCACCTGGACGGATTGGGCAATGGAAGCTGCTGAATGCCTTGGGAACCAATGCCTCTTTGCAGGGAAGATGTGGGGATCTGCCTGGCTTCTCTGAACCTCAAGTCTTCTCTTTTTTTTTTTTAATTTTTTTTTTTAAGATTTATTTATGCATACAAGAGTTGGAGTACAGGCCAGAGGTTTGAGGGATGAGAGGATTCACCAGAGACAGAGTGGGGAACAGAACAGGCAGACTGACTGAAATGCACTACTGAGGGGAGCAGCAGGCGAGACAGGAGAGGTCTGCTGCACCATGTGGCTATCTCCCTGGCCAGGGATCGAACTCATGCTGCAGAGGCTGAAGATTGCTCATAGTGCTGTGCTTAACCCTTTGCGCCACCAGGGAGGCCCAAGTCTTATCTTTTAAGCATAAGAACCCATGGGAATTTGCTCTCAGCTCTACCATGTGGCTTGGAGGGGGCTCTGAAATCTGAATGTTCCTTCTTAGGAACACCATCAGGGAAGAGTCACCTAGGGGAAAACGTCAGAAGCAAGGAGGTGGGGGCATGGAATCTCCATTTCCTGGGATTTCTGCATATTGGCTTCCTCTAGCCCAGTATCCAAGATGGCATATCCACTGTTGTTTGCTCCTTATTACCAATAACTTTCCCACTCCCCCACCCCCATTGAAAAAGCATGTGCACATAGGATTTGAAATCTAAAGTGTTCAGCCTGGGGTTTGGCTCTCTAGACGTGAGATGGCAGATGAGTCCAGAAGCATAGATTCCAAGTCCTCCTCCTGGAGGATGGTAACGTTTATGTCACAAGAGTTTAAGGATGATCAAAGGACCAGAGAACCATTTAGTGTTGGCACCGGTTATTAGGAACATCCTCAGACTTCTTGTCCTTACCCTCTCTCCAGTGTCTAGCCTCTTTCCAGAAGAAAAAATTACCATCCCTTTATGGTCAGATTCCAGGACCAATATGAGAGCCCCTGGTGCCCCATAATAGGCAACAAGAGCTGGGCACACACAACCCCTACCTCTGGGCCATCTCTTCAAGCTTGGTTCACAGGACCCCTGCCCACTTGTTCTTGGGCTTCATGAATGTGAAATCTCCCCAGGTCTCTGATTATGTCCCCTGCTTCGGGTTCACATCGGTTGAACCTGAGCCCTTAACCCTAACCCACCACCCTCAGTGCTTTCTGCCAGCTCAAAACTTCTCTTGCTCACTTCTTCACTTGACCCTGTGGAAACTTATTCATTGTCATCATTGCCACTATACAGACGAGATGGAATGGTTTGTCCAAGGTTCTGCAGGTCAGGTGGGGTTGGGAGTGGATCTCTGCTTTACTTTTCTTATCACGGCACAGCCCTTTTCTCCCTAACAGTCTGCTCTCCCACCACGTCTGCCCAGGTGCTGCAGTGGCTCTCGGGCCCAGGGGAAGAGCAGCTGGTGAGCTTTGCAGCGCCTGGGGATTCTCTCTCCACCCTGCAGGAGACAGAGCTGAGATTTCGGGCTTTCAGTGCCGAGGTTCAGGTGAGAAGGAAGAGAGATACTGGGGGGAAGGAGGAGAATGGGACCGAGGACCAGGTCTGAGGGCAGCCTCCATTCTCCAGGAACGCCTGGCCCAGGCACGGGAGGCCCTGGCCCTGGAGGACGACACAGCTTCCCAGAAGGTTCTGGATGTCTTTGAACAGCGGCTGGAGCAGGCTGAGAGTGGCCTTCATCGGGCCCTGCGGCTCCAGCGCTTCTTCCAGCAGGTATGTGCAGAGCCGCTTATTTCTATGCCCACCATGGCCTTTTTTCTGCCTGAGGGGTCATCAGGTAGTTGTTAAAAGCAGGTGCTCAGGAAGCCATCTCCTTGGCTTTGACTGTCGGCTCTGCCACCTAGTTGCTGAATGACCAGGGCACAATTCTGAACCTGACCATTGCTCCATCAGCAACTACTGGTAGGGCTGCAGTGAGGATTACAGAGCCAGCATATAAGCAGCACGTAGTCCAGGACCCGTCACTAGCACACTCTGTATGTTATATATTATATACGTTATATAGTATCGGCCAGTCTTTCAGCTAGGCTCCTGTCTGCATACCAACTCAGAGCGACGTGGTTAGGCAGTGATGCTGGGAGAGTGAGGGGAGGTGTTCCAGGCGACAGCGAAGGTGATGCCATTGGGAAGTCATAGATGGAAGAAGACAAGAGACATCAGGCAGCTTGTGGGAGAGGCACAGGCCCTAACTCCTTCCTCTCCCTATTCCCAAACCCTTTGGCCTTATAGGCACATGACTGGGTAGATGAAGGTTCTGCCAAGCTAGCAGGAGCCGGGCCAGGTCGAGAGGCAGTGCTAGCAGCCCTGGCCCTGCGGCGGGCCCCAGAGCCCAGCGCTGGCACCTTCCAAGAGATGCGGGCCCTGGCCCTAGACCTGGGCAGCCCAGTGGCCCTGCGAGAATGGGGCCGCTGCCGGGCCCGCTGCCAAGAGCTGGAGAGGAGGATTCAGCAACAGCTGGGAGAGGAGGCGAGTCCGAGAGGCCACCGGCGACGACGGGCAGACAGCACCAGCAGTGGAGGAGCCCAGCGGGGCCCACACAGCCCCTCACCTAGTCTCAGCTCCCTGCTGCTTCCCAGCAGCCCTGGGCCAAGGGCAGCCCCATCCCACTGCTCACTGGCCCCCTGTGGGGAGCACTATGAGGAGGAGGGCCCCGAGCTGGCTCCAGAAGCAGAGGGCAGACCCCCCAGGACAGTGCTGATCCGAGGCCTGGAAGTCACCAGTACGGAGGTGGTAGACAGAACGTGCTCACCCCGGGAACACGTGCTGCTGGGCCGAGCTGGAGGACCAGATGGGCCCTGGGGAGTAGGCACTCCCCGAATGGAGCGCAAGCGAAGCATCAGGTGAGAGCCCAACCCAATTGGTGCCCAAGAGGCAGACCCACCTGCCCAGCAGGAAAAGAATATGACATTGTTGGGGGTGGTGATTCCCTCCAATGCCCCAACCTCCTCTGCCCCGCCTTGTGGTGCCTGCAGTGCTCAGCAGCGGCTGGTGTCCGAGCTGATTGCCTGTGAGCAGGATTATGTGGCTGCCTTAAGTGAGCCAGTGCCAGCTGCTTGGCCTGAGCTGACTCCTGAACTTCGGGGCACCTGGGCCGCTGCCCTGAGCGCCCGAGAGAGGCTTCGCAGCTTCCATCGGACACACTTCCTGCGGGAGCTCCAGAGCTGCACTGCTCATCCCCTACGCATCGGGGCCTGCTTCCTCCGCCATGTGAGTGAGCCTCTGAAACTTCCTCGTCTTCTCCCTTCTCATATTTCAGCCCCATCCATTTGTCCTCCTCTCATTATCCATCCCTCCACCTCACCAACTTCACAACCCCACCTCAAATATGTGATGCAAGGCCCAGTGCCACTCCCTGGTCCCTCTGTCTTTAGTCTGTGCACTGTCCTCGGATGCCACTTGGCCTTTGCTCTTTCCATGGGAGTCATCATTCCCTTAGGCAGGCTGAGTGCTCCCTATGGTCTGTCCCTTCTTTGGCTGCAGGAAAGGGAGGGCTTGTCTGTGGAACTTCCCAAAGGATGTCTTACCCCTTCCTCATTGGCACAGGGGGACCAGTTCAGCCTTTATGCCCAGTACGTGAAGCACCGACACAAACTGGAGAATGGTCTGGCTGCACTCTGCCCCCCGACTAAGGTAACCTCTTCTCTGACCCTCATGAGAAAGGGTGGGTCCAGGAAGACCTAAAACTCACCCCACCTCAAAATCGTTCAGGGGAAACAGTTTCCCTGGGCATACCCAGGACCCTCACCTACCATCAACCTCCCAGAATTGCCGAGGGTGGGACAAGGACTGGACTGTGAGCCCACTGAGCCTGGGCTCATCCAGTTCACCTGAGGGACTTTGGCTGAGACTGTGATTCCTCCGGGCCTCTGCTTCTGTATCTGGTCAATATGGGCACTCTTCATTATATCTAACACACAGAGTGCGCTGAGGATCAAAAAATGTGACTTCAAAAATTAATAGAATATAAGGGGTTATTTGTCTTCCTCTTCCATTCCCCTTCCAGGTACAGAGGATGATTAACTCTTCTGCAAGCCTGTATGTGCTTTCTTTGTGGGGGAGAGTTTTTTCCTTACCTTTGGACATATCTAGGTTTCACTTAGCACCAAGATTCTGGAGTATCACCCATCTGCCCTCAGAGCCCAGCACCCTACTCCACCCCTAACCCCTCCCGTCATCCCTGTCTGTCTCCTCCCCAACCAGGGCTCCACAGAGGGTAGCCCTCACATACCCCAGGCTCTCCAGCAGCCCCTGGAGCAGCTGGCTCGGTATGGGCAGCTCCTGGAGGAACTCCTAAGGGAAGCTGGACCCGAGCTGAGTTCTGAGCGCCAAGCCTTGGGGGCTGCCGTGCAATTGCTCCGGGAACAAGAGACACGTGGCAGAGACTTGCTGGCCGTGGAGGCAGTGCGTGGCTGTGAGGTGAGGCCATAACTTCAGTAACTCCAGCTCACACTGCCTAGCCCTGTGGCCTCAGGATGGACTGATGACGAGAGAACTAGACTCAAGGTCAGAGGGTCTTGAGCTCTCATTTCTAACCAGCAGGATAGCCTTGGTCAAGTCACTGGACTTCTAGTCTATAGACTATGTTATGCCCAACATCACATGATACTATATCTGCCTGTGCTTTCTCATTCCTAATTCTTTTTTTTTTTTTTAAAGATTTTTTTTATGCATGCATGCATAGAAGAACTGGGGTGTAGGCCAGAGGTGCTGGGGCTGAGAGGATTCACCGGAGACAGATTGGGTAACAGAACAGGCAGACTGACTTGAAATACACTGCTGAGGGGAGCAGTGGGTGAGACAAGAGAGGTCTGTTGCACCATGTGAGTCAGCTCCCTGGCCCAGGACTGAACTCAGGTCCCAGCGGTAATAGCTTGATAGTGCTGAGACTTAACCCCTATACCACCCGGGAGGGCCCTTTCCTAGTTCTTATCTGTCCCTATCTACCCATACTTCTTCCTGCATTTTAACACCCAACGCATATCTTGTTCTCCTTTGCCTAGTCCCTTTCCAGCCTTGAGGTTCCAGTACGGGTAGGAAAGCTACCTCTTCTGAGATAGACCTCTTTCCCCTTCAATGCTTTGCTGGTGCTTTTCCTTTGTTCCCAATATGCAGCTTAGCCATGGGAGGCTATAAACCCTACTGTGCAATGTACTTTTTATCGTCAAGGTGGGGTGTGCTGCTAGACCAGATGGCCTCTGTGCTGGGGACCAGAGGATGGATTCTAGCCTGGAGCTTCCCTGATTTCCTGACTATGCCTGAGAACAAGTGGATTTCCTTTAAATTCCATTTTTATTACCCATAAAATATACACAAAGGACTGCAAGGTCAATGACCTTTCCTTTTCCTTTCCCCAGACAGATCTGAAGGAGCAGGGACAGCTCCTGCATCGGGACCCCTTCACTGTCATCTGTGGCCGAAAGAAGTGCCTTCGACATGTCTTCCTCTTTGAACATCTCCTCCTGTTTAGCAAGCTCAAGGGCCCTGAGGGGGGTTCAGAGACCTTTGTTTATAAGCAGGCCTTTAAGGTACAATACCTGGAGTGGTGATGGGGGTGGGAGCCTGGGGCCAAACAGCAAGTCATGCTCTTTTTGAGAACTCAGGATATTCTGCAATGCAGCCCCCACCCCAGTTCAGAATATGCTTTATGAAAAGAGTCTTAGGCTTGTAATCAATCATCATGTTAGAGTGTCAGGATGACAGAAATCACTGTCATTGGTCTGACCCCTGGGATTTTCCTTATTGTTCACTCAGGAGATCATGAGGCATTCCTGGCTGAAATGGAGAGGGACCACCTTTCCTATTAAGGACACATGCCTTTGAGCTAAGGGATGGGATGAGGAGAAGGGACATTATATATGTAGCTTAACTTGACTGAACAAGAAGAGGCCTTACTTTAGCACTGGTAGCCACGTAAACATCAAAATGACTTACGGTCCTAGATCAGGCAGGGTATCATAATTCTAAGGGTTTCTAGACTTTTTCTCCTATACTAGTTCCCAGCTCTTCTGGGAGGAGTACAGTTTAGAAAGAAAAGTCTAGGTTTAGAATAACTCAGATGTGGGTTTGAGCCCTCTTTCTCTAAGAAGCTCTGAGAAGCCCTTGGGCAAGCTGCTGCACGTCTCTGGGCATCCCCCTTCTGTAAATTATGGTTGTTATGAAGACTAAATGTAGAGCACTTGGCACACAGTAAGTGCTGAGCAAACATTTACTGAACATCTACCAGATGCCAGGCTAAGTGTAAGCTATTCCATGTGGTACCATCTTGCCAGGACTCACTCCGACTCACCCACTCTCCTCTGCTCTTTCGCAGACTGCTGACATGGGGCTAACAGAAAACATTGGCGACAGTGGGCTCTGCTTTGAGTTATGGTTCCGGCGGCGACGAGCACGAGAGGCATACACCCTGCAGGCAGCCTCACCAGAGGTCAAACTCAAGTGGACAAGTTCTATTGCCCAGCTTCTGTGGAGACAGGCAGCCCACAACAAGGGTACCGAGCAGATCCGGGCTAGGGTGTGCATGGGATCAAGGTTATGGCAGGTCAGCTGGAGATTGTGGAGATTGCTTGGGAAAACAGGATGTGGGATGAAGAAAAAGGATTAACTTATGAGAAGATTGTTGAGATCGAAATTAGTATAGAGAAATCTAGCAAATGTCAAGGCTATAAGAGCAAAGGGTTTTGGGGTGGAGGGTAAGAGAGAAAGCACTCACTGAACGAGGGTGCAGGAACTTATCCACTGTGTGAAATGGACTCGTTTTGTTTGTTTGTTTGTTTGTTTTTGGGGGGGAGGGTTGCTGTTTGCTGTTTGTTTTAATTCTCTAAACCTCATTCCATTCATTTGAAAAAAGGAAAGTAGTATCTCCCTCCTGGTGTGATAAGATTAAATAAGGTGATATATATGGAAGCACATGACAGACTATAAAGGTATACAAAAAATGTGACTTTTGCCCCTAATGCCCAAGATTTAGGGAAGAAGGTGGGGATCAGGAGAAGTTGGATGGGGCTGGCTGCCAAAAAGGAGGATGTAACATGGAGAGAAAAGACAGATGTCTGAGAAGGAGGTTAAGAATTCCCATCCCCATCCATGTCTGACAGTCAACAGGAAGGATAACAAGAGATACCAGAGGGGAGGAATGAGTCATGATGAGCAAAAGGGAGAGTTCACCATGATACTGCCAGGGCTGGAGCAGAGGAGAGGCAAAGGAGGTTGGTAACAGGGTCTCTGTTTCTTAGAGCTCCGAGTGCAGCAGATGGTCTCCATGGGCATTGGAAATAAACCCTTCCTGGACATCAAAGCTCTTGGAGAGCGGACGCTGAGTGCCCTGCTCACTGGGAGAGGTGAGGCCCAGAGTGCTGGGGGTGACCCCTATAAGTTTAAGACATTGAGAATAAGGGCACAGTGGGGAGGCATGGTAGAAAGTTTGGAAGGGAGATGAATGGATGTCTTCGCAGAAACTGTGGGACTGAGATGCCCTCTATGAGACTGGGGGTCATTTCAGGGAGCCCGGAGGGCTTTCCCACACCAGCACCCCACTCCCAACCCCCACTTTCTGCAGCCGCCCGCACCCGGGCCTCGGTGGCCGTGTCATCCTTTGAGCATGCCGGCCCCTCCCTTCCCGGTCTCTCACCGGGAGCCTGCTCCCTGCCTGCTCGCGTCGAGGAGGAGGCCTGGGATCTGGACGTCAAGCAAATTTCCCTGGGTGAGGCACCTCTCAAGGGGTGGCTCCCAACAGCTGGCCCATCATGGTGATGTTCAGGCTGCTTGCTGCTGAGCAATTCCTTTTTCTAGCGAAGTGGCCCAGTTGCCATGACAACTATGTACAGCTTCCCCATTGCTAAAAGAGCCTTCCATCTGGTTGCTAGGGTAAATGCTTACAGCAGCCTGTTGCTAAGAAGCACTTCCTCTGTACCTCTCTTTCTAGCTCTCCTTGGGTTTCTATGGAAACTGCCTCAGCTTCCTGTTGTACCCTCCTGGTCCATCAAGGCAATCCTTATAAGTTTCCTGTCGCTTCTTCCCTGGTTGCTCTAATGATGCTGCTGACAATTTCCTGCCTCTTGGTAGGGGGGGGTTCTCTTGCAACTAGATTGCTATGGTGACTCACAGCTTCCTGTTGCTATGGAGCTTTTTCTTCCTTGATGGAGCAGCTTGGTTGCTTAAGGTAATCTAGAGGATGTCTCTACCCTGCTCTCACCCTAGCTTCCCCTCCAGCCCCAGAAACACTTGACTCTTCTGGAGATGTGTCCCCAGGACCGAAAAACAGCCCCAGCCTGCAACCCCCCCACTCTGGGAGCAGCACTCCCACTCTGGCCAGTGGAGGGATCTTAGGGCTATCCCGGCAGGTAAGTTCCTCAATGGGTCTGGGAATGGGGTGATCTCTGTCCACTTTCTGGGTGGGCTTTTCTGATCATTCGACCCACAGGGGGCAAGGGGAACCAGTGAGACTGTGCTCCCAGTGAGGCTACAGGTTGGATATACTGTCCAGGCCTGGCTGAGAGGCATCAAGGTGAGAAAATAAAAAAGAATCTTTAATAAGGAGCAGAGTTCAGGAGTGGATGGATGGAGAGAGGAGAATACCAACAGTCTGGTTTGGACTTGTATTAAGTCAACAAAATTCAGGAACATGAGGGGGAGAGCAAGACAATGAATATAGGCAAGAGACCATTTCTTATCCTTCAAATTCACTGTACTTTCTCTCCCCGCAGAGTCATGCCCGAGCCCTGAGTGATCCCACCACTCCTCTGTGAACCTGGGTGAGTCAGTGTTCCCTTCCTACCACATCCAGCACACCTTCTCTCTGGCAGGTACCACCCTTCTTCCACCAGCTGCTTGGGAGTCAGCCTTTTCCCATTCCCATCACCGTCTTCTCTCTTGGTTTCTAAAGATCCAGAACTTGGCTACAGCCCCTCCTCTCAGGGCATTTTAGGCTGGGGTGACAGTGGAACATAACGGAGGATTGGAAGAGCATTTAATTCCTTCCCTCAGCTTCCTGGGCAAAGAGGAAGTCAAAGGATCAGCGCTTTTCCCAGCTACCACTATCTCTAGTCCTCCCCGCCAGGTGCCTTCTCCTGCACGAACCAGAGTGGCCACACTTGCTTGCCTTCATACCCTGGAGGTGGGGAACTTATCCTACGTCCAGGCCTCCATCCTGGGCCTTGGCACACTCCCAAGACAAGTCTCCATGACAGCCCTTCCCCAACAGCCTGTGTTCTCCCCCTTCTTCTCACACAACTGCCAGGCCAAGTGTAATTCCTGATGACTCCATTCTGAGGTGTCACAGGAAACGGAACTATGCAAACCATTATAGCGAGGGGGTGGGCAGGGAACTGCAGACTTTATATATGTAATTACTGTTATTATTATACTATTGTTATATTAAATGTATTTACTCACACCTTGTCTCCAGAGATAGAGCAGTCCCTCCAGGTGGAGATAATACTAACTTAAGCACTTGCCTTCACCCAACCATTAACTAAAACACAGAAAATAAAGCCAAGGCTGCAAGGTACCCTGTATCCTTATTGGCCTAAAGCTGGGTGGGCCTGGATCTGGAAGAATGATCCCTCCACATTGACTCCCAGTGGCTCAGTGCACCCTTTGAAGTTGCCCCTCTCAAGCTGCGCCCTACCTCTTGAGTCCTAGCTGGTCACAAACAAGCTGGCATCCATAACAGTCCAGCACTTCTAAAAATGAAATCCTCAGACCACAGTGCATCAGAGCTCCTTGGCTACTTGTTAAGTGCTAATTCTTGGGCTGCACCCCAGAGCTACTGAATCTAAAGCCTGGAGGTAAAGCCCAAGACTCTGCATTACTTATCGAGCCCTTTAGGTGATAGCTAAGTGCCTGAAGAGCTGACTCCTCTGGACAGAATGGTCCAAGGAAGAGGACAGGACATAGGCAGACAGACACAGTGCCCTGTGCCTCAAGACACCTGTTTATTGGGGACACAACTCTGCGACAGGGATGACAGGAATCGTACCAAAAATAGCGACGTCTACAGGGCCCCTGAAGGGGCTAGAAGGGTACAGTGCCCCCCACCCCCACCCATTGTACAAAAATAAACTCTCACGCCTATGGACCAGCAAAGACTGGCAGAGGGGCTCCTCAACAGACACAACCCTCTTTGCCAGCCCTGGGACCCAGTTCTTTGATCCTCACCCCTGCCACTTCTAAGGCACTGTGACTCTCCCCCGGGCTGGGTACTGCCAGTGCCCGCCCACTCTCCTACGCCCTCCGACCCCAACACCTCTGGTCCGCCTGGGGCTGGGATACGGGTCCCACGCTGCCCCCTGCTGGCTGCTCTACCCAACTACCTCTAGCGCTCCCCCGCTCCGGCGGGGTAAGCTCACTAAGCTAACCGCCCCTAAGAGGGCTGCCTACCGTTCCTGCCCCCCCAGCCCAGCCTCTCCCGATCTCGACAGCCCTGGGCCCTCCTCCCCTTCCTGCGGAGGACTGGAAGGGGACTCTCCAGACGGTGCCCGGGCATAGGGCGGGGATCCATCCGCCTGGGGCGGCCGCCGGCCCCGAGCCCGGCGGCTGTGGTGCACTTGCAAGTGCAAGGCCATGAGCTCGGGAGCTCCAGTGGCAAAGGGGCAAAAGAGGCATCGGTGGAGGGCACCCCCCGGCCCGGCCTCGCCACCCGGCCCCGCCCGCAGGGACAGGTCCAAGGGTTCGGCCTCACCGCCTCGCCCGTTGCGCAGGGTCCTCCCGGGGCTGGCAGGCTTCCGACGGGACCCCGGCGCGGCGCTGCTCGAGGGAGGCCGAGGGCTCGCAGCGCCCTCCACCCAAGTCGCAGGCTGCGGAGCAGGCTTGGCCCCAGTTGGCTGGGCCGAACCCCGCTGGGAAGGGGGTGGCGGCTCCGGAGGTGGCCCGGGCCCTGCCCCGCTCCTCTGCTCTCGGTGGTGGCGCTGCAGGTGGTACTTGAGTGAGCCAGACTGGGTGCCCGCGTAGTCGCAGTGTGGACACTTGTAGGGGCGCTCGCCTGGGGAGAGGGAGAGCGATAGCACGACAGGGTCACGATGACTGCACACTCCCACCGCCTTTCACTCTAGGTACTTACAGCTCTCCTCAGGACCGGAAGAGCACATTGCCTCTCCCTCTCCCAACCTTCAGGCAGTCTGAAGGCTGGAAGTTTCCCCACAACCCCCTCACCTTTTTTCCTGCCTTGCAGTGTTCCTCCCCCAGTCCGTGGCTGGCCCCCTCACCTGTGTGCACGCGCAGGTGCACTTTGAGATGATGCGCTGACCGGAAAGATTTTCCACAGAAGGGACAATCCTTGCCAGTGGCACCCCGACCCCCTTCAGGCCGTGTCCCTCCAACCAACAGCCCATTCTCTTCTGTAATACACAGGTGAAGGCAGGTCAGAGGAGCCCTTTGCAGCAGCCCTGTCAGGGCAGGCGTCCCCACACCCACACCATATTGCTTCCATTCCAGGCCCAGGAAGAAACAGTATGCTTGGGGGCACCTGAGTGGTGGGATCTGCTGTGAATTGAGCTGGTACCCTCAGAGAGTGATGAGGCCTTTGGAAGGCAAGGGGCAGGAGACAGATCCTTCTATAAAAGGGGGGCGCAAGGAAGGAGTGGTGACATCGGAGAGGGCCCAGGAGGTGGCAACCACAGGGTGCCCGATACCTACCCTGCGGGGCGGAGGGCCTTGCCTGGGCCCCCGCGGCAGGTGCGGCGTGCCCTGGGCCCTCCCCAGGGCGCGGATGCAGCGAAGCCAGAGGGCCCAGCGTCCTGCTCCGGGCCCAGGGCTCCTCCTCAGCCTCCACGACCTCTTCTTCCTCTTCTGGCTCCTCCGCACGATGCCGGCGACCCCGGCCAGGGAGGGCAGCCGGCAGTGGGCGGAAACCTCCAAAATTGCGGCCCGACCCAGATTCAGCGCCCTCACCATTGGGCCGGGCCTCTCCTGCTCGCAGGCTCAGGTAGCCCAGGAGGCTCGCAGGCTCACGGCGCTCTGCAGGAGTGGGCGCAGGGGCCAGGAGGAGCGCTGGGCCCAGCGGCTCATACGCCAGTAGGCTCAGATCTGGAGCTTGGGGGGGCCGGGCAGGACCAGAACCAGGCCCTGGGGCACGCAGTGGCCCCAGCTTGCTGGCGTGCACCTTCATGTGGTTCTTAAGGAACCAGGGCTCCTTGAAGCAGCGGCCACACACAGGACACGCATGATCGAAGGAGGCTTTGTGCTTGCGCATGTGGCCCTTGAGAAACCAGGACTGCGTAAAACTCTGACCACACACTTGACAGCGGAATTCCGGTGGTGCAGGGGGCTCCTCGGGAGCTGCAGGAGCGGGGGCGGGAGTTGCCTCGCGTTCGGGCTCTGGCTCAGGCTCGGGCACAGGGACCGATCTGGGTTCAGGTTGGGATGAAGGCTGAGGCTGGGGCTGGGGCTGGGGCTGGGGCGCAGCCGAAGTGGCCGCCAGGGGGCGGTCAGGAGCTCCGTGGGCGGTCAGGCTATGGTGCAGCAGCTCCTCCTCCTGGCTGGAACCGAAACTGCACAGGCCGCACTTCCAGGGCCTGTGCAAGATGTGCAGGTGGCGTTCACGCTCCGCCGCGGTGCGAAACTTGCCTTTGCAGAAGGGACAACGGAAGGCGGACGACGTAGGACCCTGGGGCCGCGCCAGGCCCTCAGTGGCTGGGGTGACCTGCGCACCGCCTGAACTGCGGGCTCGCCCCAGCCGGGCCTCGCGCAGCAGCGCGCGTTCCTCCAACTCCAGCAAAAGACGCGCGGCGGGGCTACGGGGACGCTCCGGCTGGTGCGTGCGCAGGTGCGAGCGCAGCAGAGCACGCTGCGCTGCGCGGTGCCCGCAGTGCGGGCACTGGAAGGCCTGGGCCCCTGGGTGCGCCCGCAGGTGCAAAGCCAGTATGGAGTTGAAGCGGAAGCGCTTCCCGCATACGGGACAGGGAAAGCGCCGTTCGCCTGCACGACTCTCGGACCAGCCTACTGCTCCCATTCCTGGAGACCCGGCGCTCACGCCTGGCCCGTTGGAGTAGCGCTGCAGATCCAGTTCGCCTTCGAAGGCCGGTGGCGATGGCGCAAAGTGGCCGCCCGGGGCACGGGGACGTGAGCCCTGTGGAGAAAGATGTGGGTAGACCACAGGGTGGAGAAGGGAGAGCTGTGGGGAAACAAGGGTTTGGAGAGCCAGAAGAACCCCAGGGAGGGTGGGTTGGGGCCTAACCGGGAACACAGGGCTGCCCTTCCTACTCACCTCGAGGAAGTTGGGCGATGAATGGGAATTGAGATGTTGAGGCTAGGGAGATAATTTTTAATAATGGGGGCAGCGGGAGGGTTAAAGGGGGTGGGGTGGGAGAGAGACTAGCTATAGATAGGTACTTTCAGGTTCAGGCCCCCAGCTTCACTCACCTCCATGGACCCCCTTCACATTCTTTGGTTCTGGGGAGTGCAGAGAAGAGGAGGAGGAAAAGCTGCTAGTGAAGGCAACAGGTGCTGAAGAGCTAAAGCAAGAGAGACAGATTTGGAGGAAAAGATGAACCCCGATTTTCAACAGTGGAGTTATCCCCAACCCCAGACGCTCAGCACCCCATATTCCTGACAGGATCCCTTCTCTCTCCTTGCAGCCTAAGGCAAGAAGGGGTGCTGTCTTCAAAACATGTGCTCCTGCCTTGCTTAGCCAAGCTCACAAGGCTTCCTAGTGACCGGTTTTCTTCACCCCAGTTGTATGTTTTAAATGCCTAGCCAAGAACCACCACCAGCATCACCCCGTGGTGGTGGGGGAGACCATCACAGTATACCCCTCTCTCATTTAGGTTGGGCTGGTGCAGCTTGAAGAGCAAACGGGGTGGGCTCACCGTGCTCTCCAGTTACCCAGGTTGCTCTTAGACCCCTAACTGACCAGCTAGCCAAACATCCTTCCAGGCTCCTTTCCTCTGCCCTCACCCAGTCTTTCTGTCTTTCCCCCCTCATTCTCCCTCCCTCCGCCTGGATTCCTGATCCATTCATTTCCATTCATTACAGAGACTCATTCATGCATGGGAGAGAAACACCTCCCAGCAGCAGAGTCTGGAGACAGACAGAGGGGGAGGGGCATGAAGGGGGAGAGAGCCAGAGAGAGAGAGAGGGTGGGGGGGAACGGAGAGTTGGGGGAGGAGTGAAAGTTAAGGGGCACTGCTGGCCTGGAGAAGGGGTTAAAAACTGCAAATACCAGCTAGAATTCATCCCCGTGTTTCAAACCTTAGAGCCTGCAGTTTGATGGGGCATCTCTGCCCCTTTGTCCAGGGCTGTTCCGAGGCAGGCTTTCCTCCTCTCTGCAGGGGAGAGGCTCCCTCACACAAGAGGAGGATTACACTGGCTCTGAGCTCAAGAGGCTGGAGTGAGGGACGGGGGGCGGGGCTGGGCCATCTGCACAGATAGGAGCTCAGCACATGCTCTGAGTGAGAAAGGGTTAAAATTCTCCAGGCTAAAATTCCCTGAGCCTGAGATGTGCAGAGCTCCAGTTCTGAGGAAAGAGAAGAGCTCTAAAGGAGGGGGGGGGGGGGGGGGGGGGGGGGGGTAGAGAACTCGCCTGATTGGAAGCTCAGAGGAGGTTAGCTTTAGGACTTAGAAGCACCCCCAGAGTTAAGGTTCATAGAAATGGACCTGGGAGAATGACCACAAGCTGACCAGTCTACCTTCCTGCTTGCTTACATATAGAACTGTATCTAGGAAAGCCAGATGGATATGGGCCTAACCTATTTTTTTCGCCTGAGATAGAAAGAATATTTGATAAAGAACTTCCTTACAATAGGCATTGTGAAACTGAAATGGGTTACTGAGAAAGAAAAGAACTCAAGCATTATTTTGCTTAAGGATCTTTAATAAAAGAGAACTGGGCCAGGAGACAACCCTGCTTATCGGGAAAGAGAAAAGGCTCTGGAGGTCCAAGGCATCTTTAATTTCTGACATTTGGTGGCTGTGACGGGACTCCATGAAGGGGCAGAAGCCTGTTACATGTGGAATCTGAGTTATGGAATTTTATTAACAGGAAAGGAATAAATGCAGTGTCCTTGTCCAGGGTCACTATACAACCTTTACCCCAACTTTTAATATTTGTATTTCTGTAGCTCCAAATTAGGGCAT